TTTTAAAACTTTTTATCGAATTTGAGAAAAAGCAACAAAAAATAAAAAAATTAAGCGATGAAATGACTTATTTATTTCTGCACATAAAGGTAGAGAAAAAGATGGACATTTTGGGATTTTTTATTTTTTCATTTTTTTTTAGGATTTTTAGATTTTTTTAGATTTTTTTTCAAAAAAATACCATATGTCCACATCCTATGGATCTATTGCTAAAAATTGATGCATTTATTGAAAATTTTGGCTAGAAGGATGAAATTAATAAACAAATTAAAAGAAGAGGAACGCGATTATTAAAAAAATTAATAGAAAAACATGATTAAGACAAATAAAATAGTAGAGGGACATCTTGGATCTTTAACCCATAAAACAATAAGAAAACAACCGGAATGAATACTTGAAAAATAATAACGACCAAGAGTCATGGAGAGACCATGATTTCCTAACCAATCTATACATTGATTAGCCTCTTTGTATACATGAGCAGCTTGTACTCGCCAAGATAAATGTAGTAGCAAGAGGATCTCATTAACTATTTTACCATTGTTGATATCAATAATAGAATGGTTCTAAATTAATTGAATAATTGCTTTAGAGTTATATTCTTAACTTTATCTTCCCGAAGTTCACATCACAAGTTGTATGTAATCTAATATAAATAACTCATAATTTTGCTATGATAATAGAACTATCAATATTTTGGTCAAAAACACTCAATCATGAACTAGAATTATCTCTTAATACTCCACTCGTAAAAGCTCTTCCTTTATGTAATCCGACAGAGGCATCCATATTCATTTTGATCTATTCTAATTTTGAAGGTGCCTAATAAATCATTCTTTCTAATTTCTACGATTTTGCAACGGCACACTTTTGTAGATCCATTTTCACTTCTTAACTTCTTCTACATGAGAAACAAAGTCATGTAAAATATTGTATGATAGAACAAAATTGGCATTAAAAATGCTTATATTACGCCATCTCCATAAGCTCCAACAAGGTCGGTCCAAAGTAAATGTTCCAAGAAGAATTTGAGACATGATAGAATAAGAACTTAAATTTGCTTTCAATCAATCCAATAAGGTCATACCATAACACACACAAGGATGAAGGTTAACTTTCAAACCTATTTAACACAAGGACAATCTCGAAGTACATGTAAAGTATTCTCCAAATATTCCCCACATCTCGAGCAAGAACTATCGGTTGTTATATGACGTCTATATCCTTAAAAGTTCATAAAAAGACGATCATGGCATGCTAACCAAAGGAAGGACTCGAATCTATTGGGAGCCTACCCAATACCATACAAGATTTCATATTTTCTCTCTAGTTATAAAAGCAACATTAGAAATGAGATAGTAAGCAAATTTAGTTGTAAAATTTCCACCGAGGAAACACCTCAAACAGTCTTGTCATCCCTCAAACAAGGATGAGTGCACAATATACCCTTAATTTGAAGACAAAAAAGATAGAGGTAAGAATTGTTCAAACCTATTCCATGCATATTAACCACTTGGAGCTATAAAAGAACCGATCAATTCCTTTAGTATAGATATAGGAATCGACCGACTTGCAATGCTAATTAAGGATGTATCATACCATAACCATCCAAGCTAAAATCTTATAGTGTTACCATCTCCAATTGACCATGATAGACCTTGAATAATATATTACCATATATTGCGATTTCTCTCCAAATAGTAGAGCCCTTGTTAGCCTAGAACACGAGGAATGAGTTTTGGGTCAAAGTTGTATTTGTATTACATAACTCTCACCCAAAGGCTATCCCGATCCATCAATGAGTGCCATCCCAGCTTCATCAACATCACATCATTATTGTCCTTGATTCTTCTAATACCCAAACCACCACAAGACTTCAAAAAACAAATTTATCCCAACTAATCGGATGCATTTTTCATTTCTCTTATTGAGATCCTTAAATAAAACTATGGCAAACCTAATTAATCTCCTCGTAAATGGAAATAAAGAGTTTAGATTATTTGCATTGTATCGATCCATACAGACTAAGGGAACAAATAGACCAAAAGTTATTTTTCTAGTTAGAGAGAGATAATTTGATTGCTACATAACTAGTCTCCGATTTATTTGATCAATGAGTTGTTGTAATTTTGTTTCTTCATCTACCATGCAATAAAAAAATACCTAAATATTTAACGAGATCATTTGTCATTTGAAAGTCAAATACTCGAGGGGTGGGCAAGTTATCGAGAAGTATTAAGGGAACAAAAGAGCTTGGTCTTAAGTTGTGTTATTTTTCCGGCCGTAGCCGTAGCAAAAAGCCTTTAAGCATTGATTTATAATATGAAACCGTGTTAATTATCTTCTCGCAAAAGAATCAAGTTGTCCGTAAAAAAAATAGATGGGAGAGTTTAGGATCATTTTGATCGAGTTGAATAGGTTCCAAGTGTCATTTCAAACTTCATTGTCATTACGATGGTTTAGACGTTCTAAGAAAAGAATAAAAATATATGGTGAGTGAGAGAGGAGCTTAGGGATGGCAATTTGCCACGCTTCTAATAGGGCCTCGCTCTTTCCTACCCCGGTCAACGCGAGGATTTCTCGAGTTGAATGAGAAATAGGGCGAGGCCGCATTAATTTTGAACGGGGATGAGACAGAGATGGTATTTACTCACTCTACCTTGACCGATTTTTTCTTTTGAAAATTATAATTATACCCAACATATACATAAACTCTAACACTACGGACTAGTCTCCAATATGATGAGTGAGTTTTGATAATCTCTAAGCGATAAAGACATATAAGAATTTGTGTTTTTTAATTGTATTTATAATACTTTATCAACTTAATTAAGTATATTATTTATTCGATTGAAAATAATTTAATATATTATGAGTTGTGTTGTAAACTTGTAGTTAAATATGATGTTAAATTGTCATCTTTTTTAATTGTATTTTTTATATAGACTATTAGCATTTTACTATAGTTTAAAATTTGGTACAAGATAATATGAGGTAAAAGTGAGCGGAGCGAGCACAAAAAATTAACGGGGGGCATCGATCCCCGTCCTCTACCTCGTATGGCCACCCTCTCTCCCCCCCCCCCGCCCAAAATTGCCATTCCTAAAGGGGCTCCTTAGCAGATGCCTCACGAAGAAGTGAAGGATATAGTAGATAACTCATAAGACGCGTGTCATGAAGAGTATTTAAGACTACAAACTATATATATAAACGGGGATGGTATTTACCCGTTCTACCCCGCCTCACTTTTTCTCTTGAAAATTATAATTGTACCCAATATATATATAAACTCTAAGACTACAAACTAGTCTCCAATATGATAAGTAAGTTTTGATAATCTCTAAGCGATAAAGACATGCAAGAATTTATGTTTTTTAATTGTATTTATGATACTTTATCAACTTAATCAAATATATTATTTATTCGATTTAAAACAATTTAATATATTATGAATTGTGTTGTAAACTTGTAGTTGAATATAATGTTACATTATCATATTTTTTAATTGTATTTTTTATATAGACTATTAGCATTTCACTATAGTTTAAAATTTGGTACAAGATAATATAAGGTAAAATTGAGTGGAACGGGTGCAAAAAATTAACGAGGGGGCATCGATCCCCGTCTCCTACCTCACATCCCCCCTACCCAAATTGCCATTCCTAGAGGGGCTCCTTGGCAGATGCCTCACGAAGAAGTGAAGGATGCAATAGATAACTCATAAGACGCATGTAATGAAGAGTATTTAAGATAAAATCTAAGTCTATTATAGACTTTCCCCAAGTCAATTTTGATAGCTAACCACTCATTTCTACATTTTCTTCTCTTTATAGAATGAAGAAATTCTTGAGTAACAATAGTATTATTATTATATCAATACACACATCCAAGATCCTTAACAAAATTAATTTATTAGGATTTGAATTCATAACTTTTTACAATAGACTATTACTCTTGGGCTATAAGTTTTTTGTGACAATAGTATTATAAAAACTGTATTTCTTTGGGATAAAACTACTCTGAGTCGGCGCAATTGGATTAGATAGATACGGCTTAAGTTTGTTGACAGCAAATTTAGTAATAAGCTTATAAGTAATATTACATATGAAAATCGTTATAAATTGAACTATTATTTCTTGTTTGTCTGTCCGTCTTCGGTACAAGAGAGAGAGGAGAGTAAATAAAAAGAATAGATCCTTGTAAAATCCAAGGTCTATTAAACCTCACAATAAAAGAAATGTTTTTGTTCAGAAAATTGATATATTTCTTATCTTGACATTATTATGTCTGTACAAAAGCTAAAATATCATCCCTTACCAAAAAAAAAAAAACCAGAGATTCACAAGATAAATAAATAGTGGTGTACAATGCTCTGTATTAGAATGCCGCCAATTCGTGAGCTGTCTTTCTCCTTCGTGTCTCTAGCAACTAACAACTAGCTACTAGCTAGTCTCCTTCTTCTTCTGTACATATCCTAAAGCTAGCCATACTTTATTCACTAATCATCACTTCATTTCACCAATAAAATCCGAAAAAACAAAACACACAAACACGCATACATTGTCCTGTCTACTACTACTGCTGGTCTTCTCTTTTTCAACTGTCTCTCGTTTGCTTGCTTCCGTGTCAAGATCCAGCATTGACTGTCCCCTTTCCTTTTCGCTTACTCACTCATTAAAAAAAAAAAAACCGAAATCCATAGGTCTTTATCACCCCACCCCAAACCATATCATCATCTCCTCCTCCCAACCTATCTCTTCCTCTCCTCCTCAACCAAACTTCCCTACCACCCCATTCTTTCTTCTCACCAAATCCCTTCTTTCTTATTTCTTAATTAATAATATTAATAATCCCACTCTCCCCTCCTCTTTATTACGAAGTCTTAACCTTCCCTGCTGTTTTCTTTAGTAAAATATTCCATTCCACACTCCTCACAATTATATCACTCACTAGCTCTCGCCAGTTGTTAAATAAATAAAAAAAAGCACACATTCAACCAAATGACTCGGCTTTTCCGATCCAAGTCTTGCGGACTCGTCGGACTCACCGACTTCAACTCTGTCCCTCCTCCATCTCCCTTCTTTCACCGAGACGACACCGAAGATGAAGACGAAGAAGAAGAAGAAGAAGAAGAGGACGAGGAAGGGGAGGATGAAGAAGAAGAAGAAGAAGAAGTATATAGTGATGCTTCTGGAAACAGGATATCGACGCCGTTTATTGGCTCAAGTGAAGGAACGAAAGGGAGTGAGAGAGGTCGAAATGGAAATAGCAATAAAGAGTTCGCAATTTTGGATATTTTGGTAACGGCGTTAAGGAAGTCCTTGGTGACATGCAGTGTGGAAAGAGAGGATGTTTCTTCCATGGATATAAGTTGGCCTACTGAAGTTAGGCACGTGTCTCACGTGACTTTTGATAGGTTTGATGGTTTCCTTGGTTTGCCCACTGAGCTTGAGCCTGAGGTTCCTCGCAAAGTCCCCAGCGCCAGGTTTGATTTGTTTATTTTCACTTTTATTTATTTATTATTATTAGGTATATTTATGAGTAGAATTAAGAAACGAAATAATTAGTGGATGATGTAATTAATTAAGAAAGCATAATAATGAAGGACGAGTTTGGTTCATTTTATGATTTTAAAGGACTTATTATTAGTAGTATTGGTAAAGTGAGAGAGAATTTAATTAGAAATTTTCTAATGAGATATTTTGACATTTGAATTCAAAAGATGGTAAGGAAGATGTTTTCTTCTCTACGGTCAATCTTTAATTGCAATGTGAATGGTATTTTTTCCATATCATTTGGTTTCCGGAATTTTCTTTTTCCTCCTTGCCTGCTGAATATTTTAAGGAGTTATAAATAATCCAAATAATGGAGGCCTTTGAAATTCATCGTAAATTGAATCTGATTACCCGAGTACCTATTTAGCTTGAATATGATTTTTTTTTCCCCCTGAACATGGTTAACGAAATACCAACTATTACAATGCATTGGAAGCAGCAAGATCGCGTGAAATCCTAAAAAATAAAGACCTGTTCGGAGAGCCTTTTTTTTTCCTGTTTTATTGGAGTTACTTGTATTGGATGTCTTGGTTGAGATACGGACTGATTTATGAGAAAAGATTACCACTTACCACTCGTTTAAGGTTGGCTTATGAAAATGTAATTAACCTTGATCATGATGTTTTTCAATTGAGGATTTTCAGTTCTGAAAGTAACTGAATTCATCGATATTTTCACTCAAGTAGAGGTCAGTAAATGGCAGAGAAAAGGGTTCCTTTTCCTTCTTCTTATGACCAAATACAGTGAATGTCAACATATACCCTCTGATGGTCTGTTTTTTATGCATACGCTAAGACACTTTTGAGCTTGCACTGTTGTGTGGGATGCAGGATGAATATATGCACTGTTGGTTGCATGATCCTTGTGGATTAGATGTAATTTCGTTTTTGGTCATAGGAACAATGGTTGACTGAGCTGATCTTGATGATGGATCTGGAGGAAATAATTAAGAGTTTAATTGAACATGTGACATCTTCTAGTATAGTTCCGGTTCATTGAATTTTAATTTCCTTGTATCATTCTTTAAGCCTTGCTTCTTGGATTATTCAACAGTCAATATCTTCTTCACATACACAATGGGTCACTCCTCTGTTTTCCAGCGCAAACGTATTTGGAGTTTCTGCCACTTCGATGCAATGTTCTTATGACGACAAAGGGAACAGTGTGCCGACTATTCTCCTTATGATGCAAAAGCGTTTATATGTAGAAGGAGGACTTAAGGTATGTTTATGTTCCTACTTTGATTCAAGGAAATTTAGCTTCAGTCTGTTGCTTGTCAGTTCTATTAAAAGAAAAAAAAAACACTAGTTTCAGTACTACTACTTGTCAGTTCTGTTCTGTTAAAAAACTGAGGCTTTTCTTTGCTGTACTTGCTTGTGTTATCGAAGGCAGAAGGAATTTTCCGAATAAATGCTGAGAACAGTCAAGAAGAGTATGTCAGAGAGCAGCTAAACAAAGGTGTAGTGCCTCGTGGAATTGACGTCCATTGCTTGGCAGGTTTAATAAAGGTATGACGTATGACATGTTAACATTGTTTGACAATATGGTCGGTAAATCAGCTGTACGAATATAATTCTGTGTCGTCCATTCTCCGTTCCTTTTATGATTTGTGCTTAATGTTTCTGTTGCTTTCTCATTACATGATCTGACATCTATTTCTTGACTGGTTGTCAATATGTTAGACATTTCACTTCATTTCATAATGAAGCAGATAAAACTGTCGCTTTGCAATTTTCCCCCTTTCTGAACTGTATGCTGCATCTTTTCGGTGATCTCTAGGCATGGTTTAGAGAACTACCTTCCGGGGTACTCGATTCTCTCACACCAGAACAGGTGATGCATTGTAACAGCGAAGATGATTGCACTCGACTTGTGAAGCAACTTCCTCTGACCGAAGCCTCACTACTTGATTGGGCAATCAATTTGATGGCAGATGTTGTGGAGCATGAACAGTATAACAAGATGAATGCACGCAACATTGCTATGGTCTTTGCACCCAACATGACACAGGTTTGTTGAATTTGTTTAGTTGGTGTATGGTTGGTTGCTGTTGGATAGTTAACCTCATGTCAAACAGTGTATTATTTTCCAATAACTAAACTCTATGATTTTGAATGCAAAAATGGATGGGCTAACTGCTGCTTTTGGATGATCATAAAAGATGACCATCTCCCATTTGCTTCTAAATGTGGACACTGTGGTTGTCCAAAACCAACAAGGAAATTCCTTTCTCTTTGCAAACACAGAATATTTTTTGATTATTAAGTAAGATGTAATCTTCTTATGATGCAGATGGCTGATCCTTTGACTGCATTGATTCATGCCGTGCAAGTAATGAACTTGCTCAAGACATTGGTCTTAAAAACGTTCCGGGAAAGAGAGGAATCCAGTGCAAAGTTTAGGTTGTTCTCAGCATGCTCAGACTCCCCAGGCAACAAGAATGAACCCTGTCATTCAAACTTGAACGGCAAAGAATCCTGTAAAATATCATTCAAACCTAACACTGGTAATTTCTTAAGGTCTGACACTATGAATAGATTAGACTCCAACATTGAGGACAAATATTGGAGCTTTCAGAAGAAAAGTGATGGAGAAGAGGAATTTAAGGACGGAGAAGAGGAATTTAAGTCTTTTTCAAGTAGCAGCCCCCTTTCCATGAAACGGGCACCTTAGACAGTGGATGTAAAACTGAATATAATAATGGGGATTGGCTAAGTTTTAGAAAAGGGGTGAGGAGGCTAAGCAGACACCCTGTATTTCAGTTGAGTAAACCAGTTAAGAAGACACGTGGTCTTGGAATTGTAAATACTAGGGGAGGAGGCCGAGAAGCTTGGGCATGATTTATCAGTCGCTCCCTGACTTGTACCATATATATGTTGAGGTCAAGGTTGGTTGCTTGTCAAAAAATTGTAATAGAATGAAGTCAGTGTTTGCTTAATTCTGTAGTCAGACAGAGGGGAAACAAAAAGCTCCAATTTGTTTGAAGGCCCACTCTGCAGCTTTAGCTAGATTGACAATAATATCTTGAGGGACGACCCTCACCTTTTATGATTCTTTTTTTTTTTTTTCCCTCTTTCATAGTCTTATACGTATTGGGAGTTTAGACAGAAGTTTTAGGAAAATCATGCAGGTTTGAGATCAACAGCTTGGGACTTCAAGCACTGCAAGAGATGATAATGCCACCGAATATTATAGAGATATCACTAACGATATGATTTGCAGAGGCAGAATGTCTAGTGTATTGGAAACGGATTGTTCTCATCTATTTACCTTAGTGTTAGGCCAGGGAGCGTGGAAGACTGCTGAGAAGAATTTGGGAGGATAAGCTAATTCAATTTTCTTGTGGCTTGGATTGAATAATTAGGTCGTCTCCTATAGTTTTCTGTATGTATATACCGTTAACTGTAAGCAAAGGAAATAAGTTGTGTGACCCAAGTGATAGCGATTGTCAAAGTTCTTTAGGAGGAACATAAGAAGAAAATTGTTCGGCGTAGTACTGAGTAAGAAAGGAGACCTGAAGTAAGCAGGAAGTCAAGATGCATAAAACGCAAGCAAGTTTGGTTCAGTAATAGTAGCTGTTGGCCAAAAAGTAGGTTGGTGTCGTTGGTAAAAATTCACTTCCTCCGAAACATATGTGGTTATGAGAAAACCTTCCAGTTAGTTACCTGGTATTGGATTTGCAACGTCACTGCCATTGAAGTTGTTGATCAACATCGTGTAATCAAAGCCAGCCCATTTTGGTGAGAAACTTGAATGTGTCTAAGATACGATTAGGAAAGAATACAGGTCTTCCATGCGCTTGTCATATAGTTGCAGCTGGCATTTTCCATAGCGCTATAGGTTAAAAAAGAAAGACATTTTTGTTAAAAGCGTTTTTCGTATCATGCAGAAATTTCCCAAACAATTCTCTAGTCATTTGAATGACTCAGCATCCTCAGACAGTCTAAACTTGTTTTGAAATGGAAATTACATTCTCCTATTGCTAGATGATCAGATGTTGTAACCACGACATCTGATCAACTAATTCCAGCCGATTGTTTAAAAATCCAGACAAAATTTGTTTTTGGTTTTAAATCATGGAAAACCCAGACAAAAATTGTTTTTGGTTTTAAATCATGGTTTTGGTACTAGTTATGGACGCAGCAAAATGGGTCATTGTGTGTTTTATGCCAATAAATATTTATTAATTAAATACTAAAACTAATATATTAAGATTTGTATTTGTGTAGAGTAATTAATTTAAAATCATTTATTGTAAATACATAACATAAATTCGAGAAAAATGATGAAATTTGACGGGGAAAAAAAACATAACAACCTTCTAAACCGTGACGGGGGCAATATATCCTCGGCCGCGACACATGCAAAATGTTCTATTATATATTATAAAACAGATTATTACATAAAAAAAAAAAAAAAGAGACTAATATCCCGTTCTTAAAGCTAAAAAATCCGAAATTTTCATGAATTTTAATCTATTTAAAAATAAGTTTCTAAATTTTTAATTTTACTTTATTAATTTCTTTTAATTAAATCAACCTATTAGTTTTCTGCCATTTATTCTAAAAACTAACAATAACATAGATAGCTTCGTAATAGAAACCATTCACTAAAATTTATTTTTGATTTTTCAAAAAACTTGAAAACATTCTGAATTATTTTATATTTTTAATGTTAAAAATATATAAATATACTTCCTACCTTAAAACATCTCAAAATATCAAGAAAATTATTTTTTAAGAGACAATGAATGATAGATGAAAATTATATAATGCACTGAATCTAAAAAAAAAAAATCAAAAAAATTAAATTAATTTTCAAATAAACTAAAGCGGAGAAAAAAATTGATAGTATTCTATTCTATTCTATCCATCGAATAGGCAATGCCTTCAAATTTTAATCTTCAACCAAAGACATTAGAGAAGGCACCGCAACAATTGTGAAGAAGGTTACTGTTGATTGTTCGTGTGGAAACATCGAGCAAAGCTGGTTTTAAATGCTGCATGGCCTAGAATAAAAAACGACTATATAACTGTGGAAACTACTTTTTAAAGTCCAGCATAACAACCTGAGTTTCTGATTGGGTTTGATTGTGGACAAAAAATGGCTGCTAGCCAGCCAAAACAACTGATGAATCATCCGAGGAGGTTGGATTTAACCAACCCAAAGCTAGGAATTGCGAAATTATTTGCCTCGACATCTCAGACAAAACATGATCCGAAAGGAGTGGACATTAGAAGCATTTTTTCTTTGATAAGTAAATTGAGATGGGAGCTAGGTCACTCTGTGAAAAACCCAAACTCAACTTATATCTATAATATTGTTTTTAGTTTTTTTATTTACATTTATTGAATAATTAATTTTTTAAATTAAAGGGTTAATGGCTCAATTTATTTTTATATAACAAGGCAATTCTTTAATTTGTATTTATACTTTTAATTTAGTCAATTTTATTTTTAATAAATATTAAATTTTTTATTTTCAGAATAAACTATTAGAATTATTGGTGTGATTTAGACATAGTTAGTTTTTTATTTTTAAAATGTTCTTACAAACCAATCAAATAAAAAGTTCTTATATATAAATCGTATGACTATTTCCTGATAGTTTGGCCTAAAACTCTTGTCATAATGATAGATTGAAAAATTAATGTATATTCAAAAATAAAATTGATATAATAAAAAATATAGTAATTAAAAAATTATTTTATTGTACCATTAATATTAAAATGAATCTGTTATTGAATTTACATATTATTTGTTTATATTTAATTATGTAAGAGAGTTATAGTAAAATTTAATATTTATATAAACTTAATTTTTTTTATTGGATATATATTAATTACTAAATATTAATTATAAATAAAAAATTATATATATATTGGGGAATCCCCCAAGCCGTCTCAAACCCTACATTGTCATCCTACCCAAAGCCACTGGACGGGTTTTCTTTGAGCTCTAGACACTTGGGCTCGTGATCCCATGAATGAATAGATTGTAACTTTGGGCCCAACCTAAAAATGCTCCGGTGATTTCCAACCTCGCATTAAAGCCTGTATTTTGAAGCACAAAGCTCAAATTTCAATGTTTTATTGATTTTTATTTTTCTGGAAAAAGCTAAACACGAAATTTTTTTTTTTTTCATAATATATTGCTTTCACAGAAGCTCAGAAACCCTAAACTATCTAATGTACAACTTATTTCTCAAATGACACGAGATATGATCAAATGACTTGTGAGTTGAAGATCTTGTTCATTTTTGTTTTTAATTCCAAAAGATCTTGTTCATTTTTAATTGGTGTTCGATTGGAGAAGATTGGCAAGAGGATCCTGCCGGGATTCTGCAAAATAATTTACTTCATTATCTTCTTGGCATTAAAACTATTGTATTATTTTCTTGTTCTTATGTCGGTTTTTTTTCCCTTTCAATGTTGATAACCAATTTTCGCCTATATAATACTCTATCATTTTGAAGAATCATAGCAATTTGTTGCAAGTTACCAACTAATCCATTAACTATTTGACAATGAATGCTAAAAAATAATATAAAATCATATTTTAAAATCTTGTCCAAAAGTTTAAATTTTTGAAAGTTAGATTTGTTCAATAGTAGTCATCTTATTACATTGTAATGCACAATTTGAATCTGCAAGCATTTTGTTCGACAGGGGTGAATCTAGCCAACCGTTATTTTGTGTTTATATGATGCAATTATTTTATTACAATCTTTTAGAAGAGTTTATTTATTTGAATATGTTAAATTGATATTAGATGTGTTTTAAAATTGCATAAAAATGAGATTTAATTATCATAGATGAACAAATTGATTGAGAATATCTTTAAAGACATTCGAATAAAAAAAAACTGAGACTCTATCTCTTTGTCGTGATGAGCAAAAAATGGAAAAAAAAATCCACTATATTTAATATTTTGTTTCCTTATCTTACTGTTAATTAGTGCAAGAAATACTAAAATTATGAGGAAAGATGCTTCTTGCAATTTTTTATTGAAGAGGTATAAGAAGAGCAACCTCGTTTGTTTTTGTTTTTGTTTTTGTTTTTTTTTCTCTTTCCTGGATAGTGTTATTTTAACTAACAAGAGTATAAAAATAGGAGATACGGCATTCGTAATCTCATGCAAACTTCCCGAATCAAGTTAAATGAAATATACCATTTCTTTATGTCAGACATACTAATGTACTGGTTTGGACATTGAAGTAGCCCACAAAATCGCTAATCTCCCATTCTCCTAGTTCGTGCACGATGTTGGGCATCTTGGTAATTTTGTCTCTTTTGTGCAAGAATACTTTTGTAATTTGAATTTTTAAGTGATTAAATGAGGTAATATCTTACTTTTGGGGAATAACATAAGCCATTCTTCAGGCAGGCAAGCTGGAATAATACCACTTGTGTTACTTAAATAATTTAGCAGAATCCGGAGTCCGGACAAGATGCTCCAGCCAATCGTTCGGGATTGGAAACTAATAAAAAACACAAGAAAAACCTCCAATTATGCATATCTAGCTTTTCTTTTATTTATTGCTTAATTGTGCTTATCAGCTTATGTCGCTTTTCTTAGATATACAGAGGGTGGCTCACTGGCTTGCAGGTTCTGGCATTGAGCTGCATGATTGACTTTTATAATTTTGAAGATTATCTTTTAAGGAAATTTAGTTAATCATTGCTATAATTTAAGCACGAATGAAATGAGGCTAAAGAAGAAAGAAATGAACAAACATTTTATATTGCAGCCGTGTTCGCTACAGAATTTTTTTTTATGCTTGCACAGATCTATACTGTTTAAATTATATTTTTATTAATTGAGGTGATAAAATCTAACCA